AAACAACGGTTACCCTCAGAGATTCATAAGCAAATGTCAAACAAACCACAGTGGGAAAAAGTCCGTCTACATTCAACTCGATTTTAAAGGTGAAAAGACTGCAGCCACAGTCAATAGAAAATTAATTACTTCACTAGTGAGAGTCCATCCTGCAGCTAAGTTGATTCTCGTCTATCGGACAACATGCTCTTTGTTACAGTCAAAATCAACAGATAACCTTCCCATGTTAACTCCAACTGTGCATACAAATTTATGTGTTTCTGCTCCCGAAGATACACTCGAAGAGCAGAAAGAAGGGCACACATCTGATTTTCTGAATATGTACCAAAAAGCCTATGCCTCAAGGGAACAAACGCTTACAATAGTGCTATTACCAGGCATCTCCTTGATACGGGTCATCAGGTGGAAAAAATTAAAATTATTAGTAGACAACAAAGCTCAATTCTCCTCAAGTTTGCCGAAGCAATTTCTATCAAATGCCTGAAACCCGATTTATTTGTTCAGAAAGAACCAGTGATCAGTCTTTCTTTGCCTTAGAAACTGGATGTCTTTATTCTCCTTCATATGATTACTTAATCCTTGGCTTTAACTTCACCCTCCCTGGAAGAGTGTAATTTTGCTTGTCTCTTGTTTCTATGATGTGAGTTGAACTCAGTACATCGTTACCTAATTTATTAGTTACTCATCACCTTACTCACCTCTCGTCTTTATTACGTAACTCCTTTACCATTGTATGCATACATTTATTTTGTTTAAACTTGAACTGCCTGTGTAAAAACTATATAAGCGTGATTTTTTGAGCACTGTTCACTAAATTCAGGACTTTCTGTCAACTGACATCATGTGAAATTCGCAAGTATGTTAAAACTTTTCTATACATAGACTTGATAATAATTTATTTGGGCTGTAAGTAGCTGATGAGAAGCCAACGAAATAAATGATGATACCCTATTATTCTATATTAGTTTGTTTATTAGATGTATCACACAGTGAAACAGTATTATTTACTGGATGACGTTTCGAACAAAATTTATTGTTCATAATCATTTCAATTGTAACCACACGACTTTGAAACTTGAGTTTTATAGTTTTCTTTGTCTTCTCCTATTTGTCGTATGGGTAGTAGAATTTTCCAGATATCTGGGACAGGTGTTGAATCATTCCTATTACATGTATTTGCAGTTGATGCGATAAACAAAGCTTCTGTTATCAATCTTTCCCTCCACCCTATGACATTAGATTTTAAGACTGTTGTGTGTGACTGCATGTAGTGCTATAGCTGAACTATTCTCTAGATTTCTTATCTTATTTCGGTCAACTGATCTAGATTTTGCTAGGCTTCTATGTTCGGCTAGTCTGACTGCCCCTGTTCTACTAGTTTGACCTATGTATTTGACCTGACAATCATTGTGGGCAGTGTATTAGATAAACAGTATTGTTTTGTTTTAAAGACTCCACAGGATCCTTTAACCGACAAAGCTTGTTTCTAATTGAGTTTGTGGGTGGTTTGAATGCCGGCCACTTTCATTCCTGCCTTGTTAAGAATTCTGCGTAAGGTGGTTTCCGAGGTTCCTTCCTTGTATGGAATTACTACTGGTGATTTAGATTCCTCATTGTTGGTGTCGTCATTAATATTATTATTATTCCATTATGGAAAAGATTTTATTTTGATAGATCACACAGTGTTGTACAGTAATATTAACTGATGATGTTTCGAGCACAAACTATTACTCATAATCATATCAACTTGATATATATATATATTCAAACTCACCGTACTGCCAACACAAGTGAAGAAGAAACACAACACCTCACTGAAATATTGTCTTGTAACAATTACCATCTGAAATTCATTAAGCATTACGGAAGTGTCAACCAAACAGCCCTACCGATCCAATCAGCCTGCAAAAAGGATGTTGATAGATCCTCGCCGTTTAGGGATGATCCACAAAGTCTGGTCACTAAACAAAGACTCAAGGCGGCAATTATTAGGACTTTCTGTGCAGCTGAACCTATCTTCATAGACAAAATGAGATTTATACAGTCTTGTAAACCCTCACAGCATCCGAACGATAGTGTCAAATCCCACTGTGATTATCAATTGACATGTATGTGTTGACACACATACTTAGGGAGGACCCATCGGTCTCTGCAGGTTAGGGCTGCAGAACATATCCCAAAGTGGTTGCAACAACAAATGAAATCGCTGGATACAACTTATCCCGGAAGTAGATGTCCAACATCACCTATAGTGAAGCACATTTTAGAGATGGGTCAGTAAGGCTGTCAGTAAGGCCTTTAAACACATACATAAAACAAATTTAAGTCACATATTTAAATTCGTTGAGACTTTGACCATAAAAAGACTTAAACCTGTCTTATGTGTCCAAAGGTTATTTGCTTTTACTTTAAACGTGTCTTGGTAATCCAGTTTAGAACCAATGTTCAATTTACTTCATAATAATTTCAACCCCTTCTTTCCCTTCCTTTCTTATCCACCCCTCTGCGTCATTTCCCAACCCACTATTTGTGAACTTGGCCTGTACACAATCTGACCTGTATTGTAATGATTCATGCCTTCTAGATAACTGTGTATGAAAAGTAGGTATGTGATCAGAATGTCCGAAATGTGTTGCGCAAATACATTACACGTTTCAGATAAACTACGTCTTCTTATTGTGTTTTCGAAATTGATTATTGCAGTGATCCATCCGTTCTTGAAAGCTAAATACCTAGGATGGTTAGAACTCGGCTACCGGGTGCTAGGACATGAGCCACACTCACTAAATGACGGGCTGATGATACTGCCTAGTTGCCCAATCTGAAGCAGGTAGAGTGAGATTGGAACTGGGGCCCCATTTACTGGAAGTCGGGTGCTTGAGCCAATGAGCCACATCTTCACTAAGTATGTGGGAAGGATGATATACCTTCTGACTCAACTTCAATTTTACATTCGACTGTGTGTCGCTTGTATACTTTCAACTGATTAGTGGTTGACTGAAGGTTATTCGATTCCAGATATACCATTAAGCAGTCAGAGAATAATAAACAAAGTAGAGCATCCAATGCTACTACATCTTTCTGTTGGTTTATTTCACCGTCGAATAAAAGCTGGACATTCAATGTGTTCTGATATACTTCGTAGGTATGTCAACATTGAAATTATTTGAGTTGATAAACTCAAGGAGACAGTACGCAGATTTGACATTAGTTTTGAGGATCCGGGTGTTACTCTTCACATGCTGAGTGCAGCAAACTTGAGCTACCGGATGGTGACAGTGTGATCTTCATATGTCTAGGATTTGATGTATGGGTAGCTTCTCTTTTTGGATCCTAAGCAAACTGTGTATGCATGGAACTGTTGAAGTAGAAGTTTGAATCATTTCATAGGTGTATGCGCTGATTGCTGAATTGTCTCATTTTTAGAAGGACTTGTTAACTGCTTTTCGCTTTGTATATAACGTTGTCTTTCCCTCCACTCCGGCTTGAGGATTTCTAACTTCCTGCCTAATACAACAATTTCACAGCTTTGGTCAAGATGCCCAAGAATTAAGTCCGTGTTTTTGCACAATCGTTTTGATTCCTTTGATGTGGTCTCATTGTCATTTTTATTTTCTCGGTATGCTGCATACTTTACTTACTTTAATTCGGCTATCTCCTACGGGAGGATGAGCCGGCTTCATGAACACCTCGAATCATCGCTGCCCCGGCGCGGCGATCTGATGCAAGGTTTTGCGACAGGGTTATCCAATTCTTGTTCCGCAGACGGAGTCCGTAGACGGTTTGTAGCCCCAGCCACTCCATATCAGCCTCGACTGTACCAAGCCATGTTTTCAGCTGTCCACCCCTGCGACATCGCCAAGATGGAAATGGCGAGGGATTTATAACTGATTTGACCAGGTCGTCATCTGGTCGGCGCAGAACATGGCCAAACCACCGAAGGCGACGTTGTTGGACCAGTACTGGAATTTGGTTGATGTTGTAGAGAGTTCATGAAGTTTCATGGGAATTAGGTACGAGTGGTGTCCCAAGTATCGCTCGGCCTTTTGTTTGAGAGTGCAGCTCTAGCCTTTACACAACCAAGTGTGACCTACAAGGCAGTAGGAGTGGAGTAGGGAGTCCACTATCCATTGGCAGCCAGCCGGAGTCCGGTTCATACGCCTTTTTGAATGGGGCCAGACATCCAGAGCATCCAATAAGCCCTTTGTCCATACGTCTGCCGGTGAGTTCCTGTGAGCTTCATACGCCAGTCGTTGGAGGTTTGGAATCAGGGTTTAGCCGTCTCCCCTGGACTGTCATCCAACGGACAGTCAACCCGGTGAAGAGCGCCGGGCATCCGCTTTTGCCCTCTCACTTCGGTGAAAAACACCTCCGCCATGTGAAGGCAGTGAGTAGGACTTCCTCAGGAGAGACTATGTAAGACGCCCGGTCATATGGGAGCATTTCAAGAGGTGTACGGAAATGCTCCCATATGACCGAGCGTCTTGCATAGTAAACGCTATTTAATTTCTGTGTGTGAGCCACTTCCAATTCTTTGTGATCTTGTTTTCTACGAATTCTTTCCGAATAACTATTCGTCACGTAACTACTTAGTTATCGACTTACTCGATTACGTAAGATTACTCACTTCTTTTCACACATCGTTATTTCCCATACACTTTGTTGTGTCCTTGTTACTATCTGACAGTAACCTGATCTCTGTTGGCAATTGACCATGATACATCTAAACTCCTAAATAAACTGTACAAGCCTGAGTAGAAGTTGTGGAAAGAGATTGCCTTGCCGACGTATGTTTTCGATATAACAACTTCATGCTGTGTAAATGAGAAAACGCATAGATCGATGTTTGCTAAATAGCGGTCCCCAATGCTACAGTAATAATAAGAAAATGAGTTTTATATTGTTGAACTTAAAACTGCAGGTTGTTTTATATAGTTTACACATCTTTAAGCTCTTGTATAAAATGCGCTTGCAAGTCTACATTTGTTCTTATATTTTAGAAAATACAAAACGTGCTGGCGAAGGCTTGGGACAAGGAAGGTTCACCTTTTCGTGGAACGCAGTACGATCCAACAAAAATAAAACTACAGGGGCCTGGCCTTCATAGTGAAACATGATACTGGGGAAATGAAGTATGAGGAGCAACTTCTGTAACTGGCCACTATATTGTATGATTTGCATGCGTAAAACCATGCTAAAGTGATCCACATAACGTTTTGGTTGTACTAAGTGATAATAATAATATTGATCATATATAATATATATTTTGTATAGCCACATTAGTCTATTTAGTTTATCGGTGAATGAATTTGCGAAATACTAGTACCACTTAAAACTTTGCTTTAAGAGTTTGACTATGGTCTCTTAAGTTGCAGACCATTCAAACCTGCACAAACTCTTATCGGGTAGGGTAGTGAAAGTGATTCTTGAATTCTGTTATGAGACAGTCATTTTGAAATGTGACATATATCAACAATGAACCACACTAATGAAGATATTTCTATGACAATGTGGACAAGTTAAGTGGTAGCTTTTTTGTTGTTCAAACCTTCATGTTCGGTTTGTAGGGAAAAGATTGATATATGATATATGCAGACAGTTTATGCGTCAGCTAAAGTACCACTTAACGAAAAATTGGACTGGATGGATATGTAGTGATTATCCCTGCAGATCTAACTAGCAGACTTGATCCTCTAGACTCAGATCACCCCTTCAAAATGCTCTCATTTAGTCACAGTTTCGTAACCTCTGCCAGATAAGTACCGCTCATGCACGTGAGCTGTCCTTACAAAAGTTTGAGAGGGAATGCAGGTGTCTCATGTTCATCACTGATTGGTGGACATGGGGATAACGAGACCTGTGACACACATGGGCTGCAGTAGCCCAAGGAACGTTTGGCATATAAACCTATTTTAGTCACTGACAACTAAGGAGATTCAGCTTCACATGTTGCTCACTTTCCTTTTAGATCGGACCAAATCAGAAGTTCCGTCTAGATATCCAATCACCATTTAAACGTCCATAAGAAAATAAGACAAGAGTCCATTGGAAAGCTCCATTAATGTTGTCACAAGCTATTTCATGAATCGTATGTTCATTCACTCGATACACCATCATTATTATTTTATCTTGTTTTATTTTTACCTTCATGTGTCCGATTATTTTTCACCAACTACTCGCTATCGCCTGAAATCCCAATCTCTGTACTGTTCATCCTTGAACAGTTGTTATCAGAAGGCCAGCCTTCACTATGCTATCTGATACGGCTAATTTAACGCGTGTATCGTTAGGTCTTGCTGCTTACGACTTTTTCACATTGGTGTAAATCAGAAAACACTCAACTTTAACCAGAGATATGAAAATCTTGCTGCATCTCAGAGGCCCTCATACAAGATCATGGAGAAGCGATTCGAATGAGCTCCTCATCTGACAGCTTAAACAGCACGTTCCACGTGCGCTTATCCAGAGGTCTAGTGACATCTGTGTCCGTTAAACACTAAACCCAAAGCTGCATTACTTGCTAGATCCCCGTTAGCATTTGCTTTCTGTTGTTATTCATGTTCTTTTGAGCCAGCTTACATTAGAGTAAAAAGCGACTCGTCAGAAAGGTGATCTCTTTACCTTAATTCATCTGACACAGATGCATTTCAGGATGAGTCCTAATATCTTGCCTTATTCTGAGTCAGATTTCCCTAGAGAATTGGATGAAAATTACAATTGTCCTTCTGAAGAGGTTGAAGTAGGCATATCGAATGCCCCTGCGACAGCCAAATAGCAAGTTTGGATAGATGCAACGTTAGGTTCGGATCATTCAAAGACCATAGATAAACACTAGCTGAACCCAATAGACATCATTCATATGGCGAAGAAAGCCTTCTAGAAAAATGTTCCACTGGAAAGCAGTATGCTTCTGCGAGTTCCTGGCGACTTCTTCATATCCATCCACCTAGTCAGGCAGATAGTGAATATTTGCGCGAGACTTACGCGTAAAATAAATCATCACTTGTGTAGGAACTGTTAAACGCGACAGATAGATGGATTGTTTGATAGACAGCCAATCAATATAATATGATCTTCTTATCGCGATTATTGGTTAATTTAATGTAAATCACACCACATGATGAGACTCTGAGTGTTCTTTGCTTTCTGTCAATTTATTTGTGTGTACATGTAATTAATTAACTGTTCATTTTGTCCGTTCCCTCAATAATACTTTCCGGTATTTGTTTTTGTCTTTTCTTGAGTGACAATGGGTTTATATATTTTTCTTGGTGTAATTGTTTGATTTATTTTATGTTTTAGAAACAGATAAAGTTTAAGTTGTCACTGTGTTTTTAACTATAGTTAGGCCAAGACTCTGTGTTGTCAGTACTGGCGGAAGGACTAAATATGTAGTCAAAATTAATTCTACAAAGTTTCGAACAGTATCATGGCAGAGGAAAAATATGAAACTATGCCGACGTTAACTTCACAGTCATAAAAGAGTAGTGAGACTCATGCCCCGAGAAGCAACGAGTATAAATCAAACTATAGGGTAGAGTTGGAGCTAGAGAAAATGCGTATAGTCCAAATAGAGAATGGAATTGAATTGGAAAGATTACGGCAAACTAATCGTGAATTTTCTCATCATAATAAGTTGCATTACAAGCCTTCTACCTCTCATACAGTTGCTATATCTCCTAAAAATGAGTTCGCCAGAGCCATATCCAAGTTTCTGGACATGCCTAAAAGAGAGATTACTAAGTTTGACGGTAATCCTGTAATATTTTGGAATTTTGTTAAGAATTTTGAAGACTTGGTGGATAATGATGCTATTGGATATCGAACTAAGCTAAATTACTTAATTCATTATTGTAAGGCGGAAGGAAAAGCTGTAATCAAACAGTGTGTTTTTTTAAAACCAGAAGAAGGTTATTATAAAGCCCTAGAACTGTTAGAAGAAGCGTTTGGGCAAAGGCATGTTGTGACCTGGACTTTCATAGAGAAACTGCTGGAATTTCCGAGTGTCAAAAACAACGATGCAGCATTATTAAGAAAGTCATCACACGAGTTGCAAGCCCGCGAACTGACATTCAAGCAGATGAACTATGCTTCAGACTTGAATTCTGTTAAAACTAATGAACAACTAGTTCTAAAACTCCCTGTCCATTCACAGAAAGAATGCCTAAAGGTCGTTTGTAACGTCATAAAGAGCGGTCGCGAACCATCATTTGTCGACTTATGCTTGTTTGTTAAGGAGCAGTCAGATATGGCTTACACCAGGTATGGGCTGCTAATCAATGGTCATTCCACGGGAAAAAACAGTGAATCATCCCTACGAAGAAAAAATTTAATTCAAAACACCGAGAGATTTTAAACGGCTCCCAGAGAATAATGTCAAAAAACCGAATAATGATCCTAAGAATGAGTCACATTTATTTATCCCACGCTGTATATTATGATCGGGAGGATATTTCCTAGACCAGTGTTTGGAGTTTGAGATAAAGACCTTGATGTACGTCTGGCATTTGTTTCCAAGAGAAAACTATGCAACGTCTGTTTCAAAGCAAATCATATAGCAAAGAATTGTCGTTCTCCAAGGTCCTGTACAGTTGAAGGTTATGGTTGGAGACACCACACATTGCTGCACAGAAGCCAGGGATTATCTGACGATATAAAAAATGATGTGCATATCAACGCTCAACAGTGTAATGATATGACTTTGCACAAGACTCCGACAAGTGAGACAGTATTCGCTATAGTGCCCATTTTAGCCAGATATAATGGTAATTAATATCAGCAAAAAGTCTGAGCATTGTGGATTAGATCAAATAAAGTGTAGTTATATTTTTTAATAGTTTACACGCAATGATAAGTTTTGTTATTGGTAATTTTGCTCGAAATATTACCAATAACAAAACTTATCATTGTGTGTAAACTATTAAAATATAATTATACTTTATGTAATGGTAATGTTGTTCAAACCTGTGCGTTTTTGGATAACAGTTCAGACGCAACACTGATCACAGAAGATCTAGCAAGAGAATTAGGTTTAGTAGGAGCAACTAAGACAGTCTCCCCTAAGACGCTTGGTTCACAAGCCACTTTATCTTGCAAACAGGTACAACTAGAAGTCTCTCCGTTGGATTCGTCGCTTTAAGTCACTGTTTCCAAATTATGGACAGTACAGAGGTTGCCACAGTTAAAAAGAGTTGTGCCAACAGCAGATCAGATAGCCTCATGGAGTCACCTAGATGGAATAGATTTACCACAGGCTAAGAATGAAGAAATTAAGATGCTCATTGGCTGCAACGTGCCGGAAGCTCGTATAACGATCGATAAAAAGTTTGGTGGAGCTAACGAACATAATGCCATAAAGATTCCTCTGGGGTGGACATTACTGGGACCATACAGGAAGACCCTTTGAGAAACTAGCATGGTCAACCATGCCTTAGCTACAGAAAAAGTTGAGGCTATGTTCGAACGGTTCTATCAGAATGAGTTTGACGATGTGAGTGTTCATGTGCTTATGTCTATTGAAGATCGCAATACTCCTAAGTATCATGTCAGAGTCCATACAGTTAGCTGACGGACATTACCAGATAAATTGTGTCATCTCGAGAAACCTGCTTTGGTGATTTGAAGACATGCTACGAATGTTGTTCCCGCGGTTTGCTTACTGTTTGCTGGCCATGCAACCGACTAAGAAAGGAATGTGTTCAGTCGATGACGCCGTCGGATGAATGATAAACTGTGCTGGGTTAGCACTGGTTGTCCAATCACAATTGGCTGGGAGGATTCCCGGGGATTATGCAACTCAATGTCTGGGGACGTCACATATGTCTCGGTCAAATCAACTGGGGACATATTGCAATATCATCTTATCTTCTCTTTCTGAATAATGAGAGGACGCTGGGTAAAGAATGGAATGCATTATGTGATAGTATCTATTTTCGAACTCGTGAATTTAAAACAAGAACAACCAGAAGGACTCTTTTATCATACTTGGCTTCGATATTCGACCCAGTTGGAATTATAGCACCGATATTGCTGTCTGCTAAGTTAACTTTACAAGATACATGTAGAAGGCGATTAGAATGGGATGCAGACCTACCTGAAGACTGTCTAGCCGCCCCGA